TGCGGGGTCCCTCCCCCGCCCAGCCTGGCAGCCCCGCCCGGTGCCCCCTACAATGGCCATAGCTTGGGCCGGCTCTGAGTGCAACAAGGGACAGCGCTGCCAAACGCCGGTGCCGTTAGCTACTCCCCCCAGGAAGATGGTTTCCCGGGAGCGCTGGGAGAGCTTTCTCCCAGCCCTGCTGCCGTGACCACCCTGCAGCCCCAAAGCGCTGCCGTAGCCGGGCTTGCATCTTAGAAGCGTAGAGAAAGCCTAACTCCGCCAGCCAGGCGGCTCAGACCCCAGCCGTGACCGCCAGGCAGACGGCCGAGGAAGGGGGAGCGATTGCTCGCTGGCCAGGCTGTTGGCCTGTCCTGCCGGGGCAGAGGGCCCTATAAATAGCCCTAAGTCCGAGAAAGTCAATTAGGCAGCCGTTAAGCAGCGCAAAGAGCAGAGGCGAGGAAGGGGAGTTGGGAAAGGCGCAGCCGCCCGAGGTCTTTGGCGGAGTGGGCAGGAGGAGAGAGGACAGATCCGGGCTCGGAGCCGGTGAGTGAGCGGGGATTAGGTTTGAAAAGCAGCCGGAGACTCCCCCAGACCCTAAGGTCCTCGTGCGACGGGTGCACTAAGCCGTGCAAATGCTTGATTTGCAGTGCAGGGAGGATCGGGGCCCCTCGTGCTAGGCGCACAGTGGAGGCCACTCCTATCCTGTACTGGGGGTGGGAATTCCCTCCCCCGCTCACCCTCTTGTACGAGTATCCACCGTCCTTGTCCTTTCCCCGCCAGCTGATGTCACTGCCGGTGCTCCCCTCCCCCCACTCAGGCCAACGTCCCGTCTGCTCCTCGCAGGGTTTCCTTCTGCACCTTCCTGGCCCACGAGTACCCGGAGCTGGTGCACAAGGTGATCATGATCAACGGGGGCGGCCCCACGGCGCTGGAGCCCAGCCTGTGCTCCATCTTCAACATGCCCACCTGCGTCCTTCGCTGCCTGTCCCCCTGCCTGGCCTGGAGCTTCCTCAAGTGAGTCGCCGACAGGGCAGGGCTGGGAGGGGAAATGGCGGCGAATCCATCGACTGGTCGCCCGGGCGGCTGGCCTCACGTTGAGCCAGTTACCGACTCAAGCAGGATCCGGGCTCCTCCCGGACAGAGGCTGCTCCGGATGAGAGCAGAACCTGCCCACCGGCCTGGCTTGGAGCTTCCCCCCTTCCCGGCCCCCTCCGGTTCCCGGTTCCCCAGGAGCAGGAAGCATTGCCCATTCGGGACGGTGCTGACCGGGTACCCTTTTCAAAGTGCTGTGAAAAGCTGCGCCGCCCCTACTCCAGATGACAGGCCTGACGGTGCCAGACCAGCGAGGGCAGAGGCTGCCCTGGGGATGTGCCGGGACGGGGAGTTGCCACATCCGACAGCCGCTTCTCACCCCCATGCCCAGCTTCCCCTGTTGTTGCCCGAAGTGGCTAGTGGGCACCCATAGCAGGTCCCCCTCCCCAGCCTTTCGCAGCTCCAAGAGGGGCCCAGCTCCAGCTGAGAAACAGGCAGCGGGCTTGGCCACTACCAGAGGCCATCCATCCATCTGGCAAAGGGCAGCTCTCCCTCCCCAGCCCGGCGCCCGAGCTCCCTCCCGGTGCCAGCTCTGTGTCCCCTGGCCTAGGCCATGCTGGGAACTCTCCCCCTCACTCCCTGCTGGGCCCACGCCAGGGTGCCAAAGAGAAGCAGCTGCTGAAGCAAGGCAACGCCTTCAACGTCTCCTCCTTCGTCCTGCGGGCCATGATGAGCGGGCAGTACTGGCCGGAGGGCGACGAGGTGTACCACGCCGAGCTCACCGTGCCGGTGCTGCTGGTGCACGGCATGCACGACAAGTTTGTACCGGTGGAGGAGGACCAGCGGACCCTCTGGGCATCTGCCCGTCTGCTGCCCTCGCTCCAGCCGAGGCTCCTTAGAGCACATCACCCAGCTGGAAGGAGCCTATCTCCCGATTCCACCTGCAGGGACCTGCCTTGACCCCCAGCACGGGCCTGGACAGACCAGGGTAGTTGCAGCCAGTGGAGGAAACGTTCTGATTTGCATATGCAAATCCAGCCTCCTGGCGTGTCTGGGCATCTGCCCGTCTGCTGCCCTCGCTCCAGCCGAGGCTCCTTAGAGCACATCACCCAGCTGGAAGGAGCCTATCTCCCGATTCCACCTGCAGGGACCTGCCTTGACCCCCAGCACGGGCCTGGACAGACCAGGGTAGTTGCAGCCAGTGGAGGAAACGTTCTGATTTGCATATGCAAATCCAGCCTCCTGGCGTGGCCTTATGCTTCATGCAGCCCTGATTATTAAAGGCTTTTTGTCTCCCCTGAACTGCGGCTGCCCTGGTGGAGGGGATAGAGCAGGGAGTGCGGCTGCCCTGGTGGAGGGGAGAGAGCAGGGGGTCCAGCCAGAGCAGGGGGTCCAGCCAGAGCAGGGCCAGCTGGTGTGGACAGCTGCCTGCAATGCCTGCTGGTTATCTTGGGCACAGAGTCCTGGCCATTGGCATGGTGGGCTCAGGGCACCTCTCCGGCCTGGTGCCTGCGCTACCAAGGCCCGCAGGGCCCCGCCTTCCTGCATCTCCTCCCCCCGGGCAGCTGGAGCATGAGCTGACGCCTGCCAGCACCGCGAACAGACAGGCAGAGCCCTTCAGCTGCCCTTGCCCCGGGGACAAGCAGCATGGAACATGCACGGGTGGAGGGGGGCGGCTCTTGCAGCTGCCTGAGCCCCAGGGAGATAAGCCCAGAGCTGGGGGCCAAGACTAGAGCGGGGGGGGGGCGGGAGGAGCTAGCCCATGCCCTGGAATCTGACAGCTCCCAGGGCAGGAGCTGCTGGCTGGGCGTC